CTTTTTTTTTTTTTTTTTTTTTTGTAAAAAAACAAACTTGTCTGCCACAGATGATACAGTGATTGTGTGTTTTTTTGGTTCAAAATTACGTTTCATTGGTTGAATTGAACCAAAATTTTTGTACGATGTCTATCTCATATTTTTATATTTCTAAAAGTTGGTAGAAATTTCAAACTTTTGAATAACCCTAATTTATTTAATTATGAATGTTGAAATTGTTAGATGAACACGACTCTCTACAATGGTATGATATTGTCCAACTTTGAGCATAAGTTTTTATGACTTTGCTTTGGACTTTCTCGAAAGGTCTCGTAGCAAAGAGAGTTGTGTTCATCTAACATGGTATCAGAGTCATGCCAATAGATTGGTATCCTCAAATGTCGAACAAATGACTCGAAAAGAAAAGGAGTCGAACCTCTTCGAAGGCATAGTGAACAATGACTAAGACTCCAAAAGAAAAAGGAGTTGAGCGTCGACTAAGAGGATGTGTACTTTGTTCGAGCGTAGGTGTTGGATGATGAAAGTCTCACCTCCGCTAATTTAAGTAATTTAGGAAATGATCATTGGTTCATAATCAAAGAATACTCTCTCCATTCTTATGAGACTTTTTGAGAAAGCCCAAAGCAGAGACGCTTATGACAATATCAACGATTGTAGAGAGTGTGTTTATCTAACAGAAATTGTGTTTAATTTGGTGTAGCGTGAACATCTTAGGATGGACGGTGATGATCTCCTTTGGAATAAATGCAGCGATAAGGTACATACGTAAATTAAATAATTGAATAATTCAATTTTGATGCAAAGAATTTAAGGGTTTAAGAGCCGAAAATGTGTGCAGCGTCCGAGTGTCGAATGAATTGGGCGCAGCACATCCAAGAACAGCAAGATTTTCAGTGGTAGTGGCTGTAATATCGTCGTTAGTTGTTGGTCTGATTCTGGCGGCTATTCTGATTATCACCAAGAACAGTTATCCATTCTTATTTACGAACGATTCAGCTGTGAGACACATTGTGAAGAACCTAACTCCTTTGCTTGGTTTCTGCATCATCATCAACAATGTTCAGCCTGTTTTATCCGGTTTTGCTTCTATTTTTGTTCGTGTTTAAGTGTAAATGATTTGAATTAGTATGTGTTTGTGATGGAAATTAAGTGCAGGAGTGGGCGTTGGAGCTGGGTGGCAAGCTGTCGTGGCCTATGTGAATGTGGGCTGTTATTATGCATTTGGTGTCCCTTTGGGACTCCTGATGGGCTTCCTGCTTGATTGGGGTGTTACGGTACGTCCCTCTATGTCTCCTTTTTCAATTCTAAACTTTATTAAACCTAAGAAAAATTAATAATTATTGGTTAAGATATGAATTCGAAGTTGTGATGTCCGGCAATGGTTGGAGAGGAGAACAAAACACTCTGTATAAGGGTGTGGAAACCTTTCCCTAACGGACGGTTTTAAAGCAAGCCCAAAGAAGACAATATCTTCTAGCGGTGGATCTGGGTCGTTACAAATAGTATTAGAGCCGGACACCGGACGATGTGTCATTCTTCTCGCTGTTCTCCGAAGGGGGTAGACACAAGGCGGTGTGCCAGTAAGGATGCTGGTCCCAAAGGGGGTGGATTTGGTGGCGGTCCCATATCGATTGGAGAAAGGAACGAGTGTCGGTGAAGGTGGGCCCCAAAGGGGGTGGATTGTGATGTCCTGCATTGGTTAGGGAGGAGAACAAAACACCCTTTATAAGGGTGTGGGAACCCTCCACTTGCAGACGGATTTTAAAGCCTCGAGGGGAAGCCCAAAAGGGAAAGCCCAAAGAATACAATATCTGCTAGCGGTGGATCTGGGTCGTTACAAATGGTATTAGAGCCAGACACCGGACGATGTGTCATTCTTTTCGCTGTTCCCAGGAGGGGGTAGACACAAGGCGGTGTGCCAGTAAGGATGCTGGCCCCAAAGGGGGTGGATTGCGATGTCCCGCATTAGTTGGGGAGGAGAATTGTAACACCCCAGATCCATCGCTAGCAGATATTGTCCTCTTTAGGCTTTCCCTTTCGGATTTTTCCTCAAAGCTTTAAAACGCGTCTCGTAGGGGAAGGTTTCCACACCCTTATAAATGGTGGTTTGTTCTCCTCCCCAACCAATGTGGGACATCACAATCCACCTCCCTTCAGGGCTCGGCGTCCTCACTGGCACTCTATCCTTCCTCCAATCGATGTGGGACCACCCCCCTTCGGGGAACAACGAAAAGGCTGGCACATTGTCCGGTGTCTGGCTCTGATACCATTTGTAACATCCCATATCCACCGCTAGCCGATATTGTTCTCTTTGGGCTTTCCCTTTCGGATTTTTCCTCAAGGCTTTAAAACACATCTCGTAGGGGAAGGTTTCCACACCCTTATAAGTGGTGGTTCGTTCTCCTCTCCAACCAATGTGAGATATCACAAGAACAAAACACCCTTTGTAAAGGTGTGGAAACCTTCCACTAGCAAACACATTTTTACCAAGTCTCTATTTTTTAGTTATTGAATTGTAATATCTTCTAGAGTTGAATCTGTGTTAGGTTCTATTTTTTAGTGATTGAATTAAAAAATATGATGCGTTAAAAGGGAACATGGCTTGGGATGATTGGCGGAACCATATTGCAGACTAGCATTTTGACATGGATGGTTCGTAGAACCAACTGGAACACAGAGGTGAGTTTGTGTAATTATTTTTTGAGTTTTGTTTTTTATGAATAATAACCAAAATTGGAATGATGAAAATGCAGGCGTCTGTGGCTGAGGATAGAATAACAAAATGGGGAGGGCCCTCTATTTCCTCATAGAATCACTTCTAAAGGCAAAAATGACACAAATAAAGAGTTCTCTATCAAAACAAATAAATCTTTTTTAGGAGATAGAATTGAAATGAGATTATATAATAAGTTAATAATTTATTTTTAATAAGATTTATGACCGTGTAATAGAGGTGTACATTCAACCCGACAACCCGAACCAACCCAATTCGAACTATAAAAGTTGGGTTGGGTTGGATTAGTATTTCGACTAGAGTTGATTTCATTTTTTCTAAACTCGAACTGAATTGGTTCAGTTTCGAATTCGTAGGACAAAATCTTCGAATTAACTCGAGCCAAATAAAAATATATTAATAATTTCTCCGTATGAATGAATTTGGGAGTTTGGCAAGTCTAAAGGAGATTGCAGTCAAATAACTTGTTTCATTTGATTTTTCTAGTAGTTTAAGACAGTAGATGTGTTATATACCACAAGTATATTTCAATTAAAATATATTTATATATTTATTTATTTTTACTATACACTATACCTTTAAATTAATTGTTTATTTAATTTTATAATGTATTCTTATTATTTTTTTTTGTTACTTTAACCAATTTTCAAGAAATATCTGTTAATGGGTTACAATCTACCTCAATATCTTTTATTGATTTTTTTTTAATAATTATAAATTAATTTGTGTTTGCTGGTGAACTTTGTATGTATAATTATATTCAAATAATTATAAATGGTGAATAAATAAAACTTAAAAAAAATTGACAATCTTGATTGGGTTGGGTTACGAAAAGTTTTGGGTTGGGTTAATCAATCTAACCATAACAAGAACTTTCGGTTGGGTTAAAAAAATCTCTCAATCCAATCCTACATAGGTACATTCTAACTAAATCATTACAAATTTAAAAATATAGGAATTAAATAGTTAGATATTAAAGTTCAAATTACTACAAACAGTAGTATTAAAATTTAAAATTATATATATAAAAAAATCAAATAAAAATTACAAATGGCCAGTAATTAACTATAAAATTTTCCAAAAAAGAAAAAAATTGTAACGTTATGCAATTTCACGGCGGTAATAGCTCATTCCGGTAGCGTCGTTCAAAAGAAAACTCGTCAATGTATTCTTATCTTTAGACTCTTATCACGTGTTTCGCATGATGGGAATTAGGCAAGTCTGAAAGCATGCTCGGCATGAGTTTTTAAGAAATTTTAAATATTTATAATTCAACTAAATATTATTATTATTTTTTATTTCAATAAAAAAATATTAAATTACATAAATTAGCGATAGCATACGCTTTTTAATTAAATTTTCAATTTTGTAACTAATAAATCTTTCAAATTTTAAAATATTATAAATCTAATTACAAATTTATAAAACAAAGTTAACAATGAAATTTTAATTTATAAAACAAAACTCGTCCCTTCCATCTTAATTTGTTTACGAGATTTCTTGTATTCATTTTCGCCCTTTAAAATTACATGAATATTGAAGGAATGGAAGATCAAAATATGATTTTTTTTTTAACTTCTTAAATAATTGAACTAATTTTTTTCCCCATCATTTTAATTAATAAAAAAGTTAACTTCTAATTAAATAGTAACACATGATCTGCTTGATATCTTCGATTGATGGATTGATTATCACGACAATTTATTTAAAATATATAAGTTAATTAAATATATTGAGATCCTAATGTGAGTGGCGTACATTATTATCTTTTCTAATTACTATATATACAGATTAAAACTTGTTAGTTTTGTGGCTTTGAAAAGTCGTCCACCCACGCACGGAGTAAGCTAATCCCTTCCTCCGATGGCGGATCTCTCTCAGCCGCTTCTCTCGCCGACAGAGGAAACTAAATGGATCCACTCCCCAGAATCCGGCAGAAAAGAGACAAAAGCTAAATTCGTTCCCGACGGCGGTGATATCCCTCCGATCAACGGCGCACGTGATTTCTACAGAGAGTTCTATGTTGAATTCAAGAAGCTCTGGTATCTAGCAGCTCCGGCGGTGTTCACCTTCATTTGCCAATACTCTTTCGGCGCCATCACTCAGCTCTTCGCCGGTCAAGTCAGTACCATCGCCCTCGCCGCCGTCTCTATCGAGAACTCCGTTATCGCCGGCTTTTCCTTCGGCGTCATGGCACGTACTCCGCAATTCATTGCAAATTGTTCATTAATAATCTATATATATATTTATTTATTTATATATAAATACAATTTTTTTAACTGCAGCTGGGAATGGGAAGCGCGTTGGAGACGCTATGCGGGCAGGCGTACGGGGCCGGGCAGCTGGATATGATGGGAGTGTACATGCAAAGATCGTGGGTCATCCTTCTTTCAACGGCCCTGATTCTAACTCCGGTTTACATATTTTCGGTGCCGCTTCTGAAGCTGATTGGACAGACAGCGGAGATATCGGAGGCGGCCGGAGTGCTGTCGATATGGATGATCCCTCAGCTTTATGCGTACGCGCTGAACTTTCCCGTCTCCAGATTCCTGCAGGCTCAGAGCAAGATGATGGCCATGTCCGTCATATCAGCCGTGGCTTTGGTAGACCAAAATCAAATTTATAATAATTTAATGAGTTTACTTTTAAAATTAAATTTATAAATATTATTTATTTTTAAAAAAATTAAATTTAGAATATGGTTAAGAATATAAATGAATAATGTGACAAGGAAATTGTGGGAATAAATGTACAATTTTTTAAACAGATTATTATAAAAAAAACCATATAAAATTCATCTAAAAAACAAAAAACTTTAATGTTTTTTTATTATTAATATTTTGAATAGGTACTGCACACGTTCTTTACTTGGCTGCTGATGGTTAGGCTGGGGTGGGGATTGGCGGGTGGTGCGGTGGTGCTGAACGCGTCGTGGTGGCTGATCGTGGTGGCTCAGATTGTTTATATATTAAGTGGAAGCTGTGGGCGAGCCTGGTCCGGTTTCTCGTGGAGAGCGTTTCAAAGTCTCTCGGGATTCGTCAGACTATCTCTCGCATCCGCGGTTATGCTCTGGTCAGTTTTATTATTATTATTATTTTATTTATTTCCCTTCCTCTCTCCTAATTAAATAATATTATTCCGCTTTTGACCTTACACTTTAGATTATACCATAAATTATAAATATATTTATTATCATAAATTTAGATCTCTATTATTTGGTCAAATCTCACGTGGAAATTGATTATTTATGACGTATTTATTGGTCGTGAGTAATAAATTGAATAAAATAAATGGGTTACAATAATTTTAAAAACCCCAATAAATGATTTATGAGGTTTATTAAATTATAGACTACAAACATAAACTGACATTTCTAATTTATAATTTAGATTTTGTATTAGCTTGAAATTAATTATTTGATTTATTAATTTAAATAATAGAATGTGCTGAATAATTAAAAGAAAACTGATAATTAATTTTATTTTATAGAAATTAGATATAATTAAAAGATTTGTAAAGTTCCACACGCAACCCAGTTGTGTTATAAAAATAATTTCAAACATTTTCTTAGAAAGTGAAACTTAATAAAATAATTGTTAAGGTGTGATTTAAGTACATTTAACTTATTTTATTATACATGTTACACGCATTAATTAGTTCAATATTTAATTAAGTATAAATTTTGTTGCAAATTAAATATTAATTAAGTAGGATTTGCATTCCAATTAAATAATTCACCTTAGACTAATTATATTTTGATCTAATGTTCGTGCAGTTTGGAGACATGGTACTTTATGGCTCTTATACTGTTCGCAGGATATTTAAAGAATGCAGAAGTTTCCATCAATGCCCTCTCTATATGGTGCGGGTTAATTATTGCTTAATAATCGAGTAATTAATCAATCTTATTGCACCACAAAATAGAAAAGAAATAATATCAACCACTTTTCTTACATTATATATTGAAAACTTTGGTTTCTTAATAGTATATATATATATATTTATAAATAATAACGGATTAAATGAATAAAAATATTGTTAAATTCTTTAAATTTTTTAATATTTTAAAAGATATTTTTAAAATTTTAAAAATATTTACTGCTAATTATATAAATATTGAAAGTGGTCTGTATTTGTCCTTTTTCGGTTCCTCAAAAGCAATTCGGTCGAATGAAAATCATTTTGAAGCAGTAACTGTAGTTAGTCAACTAATTGATTTTTTTTTTCACAATCTTCTAAATGAAATTATTAATGCTAGTGGAATGATGTTGAAATGATTTGATTTTGTTCTGCCAAATTTAGAATTTGAGCATTATGAAGAATAATTGATTACCAAAGTTTGAATTTTAATTTCTTAAATAACCATATAATAAAATTTTATTTAAGAATAAAATTGAAACATAAAACAAATCAATACTCAATTAAATGGGTAGAAACACTATCTTGATTGTACGTGTATTTAGATTGTTTTAATTAATTGTGTTTAATTTGGTGTAGCACGAACGTCTTGGGATGGACGATGATGGTGGCTTTTGGAATAAATGCAGCCATAAGGTACGTGAGAATGTTTGATTAATCTACATGGTGTGAAAGTTATCTTATTTATAATTAAATAAATTAAAAAGATATGAAAAAAGTAATAAATAGAAATAACAATAAACAAGGATATGGATAGAGTAATAAATAGAAAAAAAACAATATACGGAAGGATACCTATTTTAAGAAGGCAAATATCTAGATATTTGCTTTATAATAAAATATCAAATATGATATATATGGTAAACTATAATTTATTACTCTATAATTTAACGGTAAGAATGAAAAAGATTCCACAAATTATCGCAAATTTTTTAATTAACTAATTATTCATAGTTCAACTGACATAAAACATATATGACTGCGTTTTAATACAAAGAAATTAATGATTTAAGAGTTGAAAATGCGTGCAGCGTTCGAGTGTCGAATGAATTGGGCGCAGGACATCCAAGAACAGCAAGATTTTCATTGATAGTGGCAGTAATATCGTCGTTTGTTCTTGGTCTCATAATGGCTGCTGTTTTGATTATCACAAAGAACAGTTATCCATTCATATTTTCGAGCGATTCAGCCGTGAGACAAATTGTGAAGGACCTAACTCTTTGGCTTGGTTTCTGCATTATGGTCAACAATGTGCAGCCGGTTCTATCCGGTTTGGCTTCTATTTTTGTTCTTGAACCGGTTTCAAATGATTTTAAAAAGATTTTTTTTCAAACCGCTCATTATCTTCATTTTTAAGTAATTGATTCGATTAGTATGTGTTTGTGATGGAAATTAACTGCAGGAGTGGCCGTTGGAGCTGGGTGGCAGGCTGCCGTGGCTTACGTGAATGTGGGCTGTTATTATGCGTTTGGGGTTCCTTTGGGCCTGCTAATGGGCTTCATGCTCGATTGGGGTGTTACAGTAAGTCCCTTTACTTTAATGCCTCCATTTTGGAATAATTTCTCTTGTTATCTCCTTTATTATAGGTTTTTTTTTTTTTTTTTTTTTTAAAAAAAATATGATGTGTTGCAGGGAATATGGGCTGGGATGATTGGCGGAACCATAATACAGACTTGCATTTTAATATGGATGGTTCAAAGAACAAACTGGGACACAGAGGTGAGTTTGTGTAATTATTTATGAATTTTTGTTTTAGAACCATGACCAAAATTGGAACTTGAACATGCAGGCGTCTGTTGCCGAGGATAGAATAAGAAAATGGGGAGGACCCTCTATTTCCGGATAGAATCACTTCGAAAGGCCTACCAACTAGTTGTCAACTTCTCCCTACTCAATAAGTTTATATGCAGCGAGCCGTTGTTGCCTTTTTGCCTACGTTCCCATATAACACCAATCTTTCTCTCTCTCTCTTGCTTTCAAAACTCTCCTCTCTCTCTCTCACTTTCTAAAATCTTCTCTTGAAATCGAGACTCGAGGTTTGTATTCACGTTACTTGACTGCAGGCAACGTAATTCGAAATAGGCTTAACCCATTCAATGCTAAGAAGTGCCACACAATCACCAAATCCACTGCCTAGAGACTGCGATTGTGACAGGTAGAGTTTGTGGATGTGAGATTCGAACATATACCCTCTTGATCGAGAATAGATACTTTTTTATGTCACTTGAATTATGTGTTACCAACCATTAATGTTGTTTTCCCATAGATATGTTGTTTGGGTCCAAATTAATAAATTAGCAATTTTGATTTTTTCTTTTTTGGCCATTCTTAACACCATTTTTATGCTCAATCGTCACCCAATTAGCCCCTAAACAAATGTTGTTTACCCTATTTTGCTAAACTTAGTAAAATTTATCGCATTGAGTGCATTTTACATCATACTCCACAACTCAATTTAGGCACTAGACCCCCTTGATATAGAATAGTAATTTGGTTACTAAATTAAATTAATAATACATTTGTCCTAAAGGTTAGTTATTATATTCGATTACTAATTAATATGTAATGGTTTAGATTTATTCGAACAAAGTTCACATAGAACAAAAGAAAAATGAGCTACATTCAAGCCCTTCGCTCAAGAATTAGAGACTTTCATATACTTGTTAATCATCGAATATTATAAACATTAACCAGCAAATTGAAAAATGATCAAACATAAAAACTAATTGCAACTTATTAGACCATAGGAACACATATTCCCAGATTAAAATCTCAGGAGAAGAAGACAAATTGAAACAGAGAAGCAAATTGCAAATTGAAACTATGAACAGCAATGGAAATCAACACAGACTACAATAACCAAAATGCATTTTCCTCTCTAGAATGGGTATTCTAAATTTATACCTATATAAGTATTCAAGGAAATAACCATCTTTTCCTTGCTACCCCCACAATTATCTCTTACAAATGCCGTAGAAATTCCTATTGTCAAATCAAGAGGAAAAGTGAATCCCAGCAAGAAGAACATCAAATAATGATCATTCACATTATATGGTGACACTAATACATAAAAATTTAATATAAGTTCCAATTTAGTTATAAATATCATACATCATTTCATACCCAATCTTATGGGAAAAGTTCAGATCAAAATAATTTTTTTAAAAAGTCCCAGTACACTTTGTTGTTTCACCTGACCAGACAATTCACTATAATCCATCAAATCAACGTTCAAGGAAATACCCCTTTGTCATCATCAAAATCTGATAGACCAGTGATTATAAGCATTCTTATTGTTATACGTTTAATAGTTCAATCAACCATATATTCCTATCGCATAGTCTAAGATTCAAACATGGAAAGGCTTGAAGATTGCATCAGATAATCGTATGTGAACCCATAAACGCTTAAATTATATCAAAAAGGTCTCCAGTAAGTTCAAACAGACAAAAATGGAAATTCACGAAGAACAAAAATCCCTATAACGAAGAGAAACTCAAACCTAAGCTGTAAGAACCACCGCGCCACCGGCCTCCTTAATCTTCTTCTCGGCGATCTTGGATACAAGCTTGGCCTTCACCACAATAGGCTGATTCTCCGGCAACACACCCTTGCCCAAAACCTTGAAATAACCGAACTGCGTGACATCGACTAATGGAACGTTGTCTTTGGAGGCCTTATCCTTCACTTCTTGAGGGATCAAGGACCAGATCTTGTCAACATTGACAATCGGGCAATAGAACTTGTTGCGAAGCTTATGGAAGTAACGCATACCAACTTTACCAAAATAACCAGGGTGATACTTATCGAAGAGAATCCGATGGTGGTGCATACCTCCGGCGTTTCCCCGACCTCCAGGATGCTTTCGGTGTTTGCCGATTCTACCGTGACCGGCGCTGACATGTCCTCTCTTCTTCCTGTTCTTCTTGAATCGAGTCGTCATGGCGGATCTCTCTCTCTCTCTCCCTAGGGTTTCGGCTGCTCGGAGGAGATGAAATGACGGTAGGGCTTGGGGGATTTTATGAGTTGGAGAAGAGTGTATTGTTCTGTCTTGGAATTGGGCCTCCAGGAACTGATAGGACAGAATGAGATTCGGGAGTCAGACGCCTTCTATTAGTTTGAGCCCAATATGTTTTGTGATGGCCCAATTGTTCGACCCAGGCCCAAACGGGCGTTGTTTATTTTATTTTATTTTATTTTTTTAATTTTAAAATTGAAAGGGAAGCTACGCTCTCTAAAATATTTCCTAATATCAATTAATATTTATTACAAATGTCAAATATACTTATTTTTTTAATAATAAATATTTATTAATTTTGAATTGAATTATTTCACGTTGTTCATGTTATTTATTCAATTTTTGTAATAAAAAGTAAAATATTTATTCGTAAAACATAGATTTACATACTTCCAATTATTTAATTAAAATTTACGATTCAATATTAAAATATATCTTAAAAATTACTCTTTAAATAATTAAATATTATTTTGAAATAATAAATAATAAAATAATAAAATAAAATGTTTATATATATATATATATATATATCATAAAGAAACTCACCCAAATGGTTGCGGGCTTTTGAAGCTTAGGCCCAGTTTTGGAAGAAGGAAAGTCGAAGTCATGTTGTCCTTCAGGCCCCCCACTGCCGACTGACGGGAATCCCATTTTCTAACGGCGACGTAACGGTGACAACCCGATGCAATACACACTGGGCCTCTCGGGCTGTTCCTTCTCTTCCTTCGAAAATTCCCCTTTCCCCGCAGGGCGTAGTTGCAATGTTGGAGCTGGAAGCTTGAAGCCTCAGCCCTCCTCCTCCGTATTCTTCCACTGAACACCGTATCTGAAGAAGAACCCGCCAATAGTCTACATAGATGGATTCTTATCATCAGACTCACCATTTCGCGAGGGCTCCTCCGCCACCACCGCCGCCGGCCTCCTCCTCCGCTGCAGATCCTTACCACCACCACCAGCAACCATCGTTGAGGCCACCAGTTCCTCCGCAGGGTCCATGGTTCCCCAACCAATTTCAATACCACCCTTCGCACTCTGCGTCGCCGACTCCTCCTCCTCCTCCGCCTCCCTCGCAGTGGGGTCCGCCAGCGCCTCACTCCGACCATGCTCCGCCTCCTCCCGGTGCTTATCCACCACCTCCTCATCCTTATACTTCACAACCTATGCACCACAACCCATTTCCGCCTCCTCGCCCTCTTATGTTTCAGCACCTTCCTCCTCATTCTCAGGTTCCACAGTCTTATTCACAGGTGATTCAGGCGAATTTCGTTATTTTTTAGTTAATTGTTTGCTAACTCTGAAATTTCTAACTTCCCTGATTGCTTTCTTGACCTATGGGAATTTAATGCCATAAACTGGTGGAGGATACGAGTAATTATTTTGATGGCTCTTGAAGCGGGGGTGAATTCCTTTAGGGTTCTTTATGTATCTTCTAACACTTTCGTGGCTTGTGAGGCGCATCAATGTACTTTCTGTAGGTTATACTTGACCATATAAGTCGTTTCTTTACAATCTATTGATTGTTGTAGGAATGGAACAATCCGAATCGGGCTCCGCACCAAGGCTGGGATTATCGAGGTTTGTTACTCCATATCTTAATTAATTTTTCCTGCTAGATTCTACCTGGACTATTTTCAGTTTGCAAGAATTTACCGGTCGTCTATCGAAGTGTAGATACTATTCTTGATGTTTTTTTCAATATGAAATGCTTATAAAAAAGAATCGCTTAATTTCGATGGTGTGCTTGGTTTATCTGTATAGCATGAAGGATAGTCAAGGATCATAACCTATAAACACTGTCTCCACTTGCACTTTTCTGGTTGTGTTACTGTGTTGTGAGTCTCATGCTTTTATGATTTTTTTATCATGTTGCAAGTTTTAGGAATTCTTTCTGTTCCTTTGAAATCTTAGTGTTCCTTCAGTTTACTGGCTTCTGTGCACTTCCTTCTAAATACTTCAGCCCAAGGCAATGAAGAAGATTGGGCCGCCAGAGCTAGGGCATGGGCAGACGCGAAGACTGCAATGGAGAGTCAGCAATCTCAGTTTGCACCTACAGGAAGACTTGAAGAACAGAACTATTATCACGATCAATATTCGCAACCAATGAATTCAAATCATCCAGATATGTCTCATCAGCCTCTTCCTCCTACAACCTATGAACAGTTTCCAGCTTCAGCCACATCCGCCCGCCCACCAGCAGGTCATCACTTGGAGTCCTTACCTGTTGCTGTTAGCAGCGAGCAATCTTCTTATCTTTCAGATGGGCGTCCAACTTACTCTGTCGGTGATTTTAGTTATGGAGGCAACATGAACTCTGCTTTACATCATCAAGGAAAGTTATCCTCAAGTCCATCGGTTCTTCAGCAGGAGGTACCTTCTAGTAATTATTCTGTTTCAGGTAATGATTCACTTGTGTAATAGTGTAGTTATTCCTGAAGAATTCTGCTTTCAAACTCATTTACTAATGAAATTGAAATTGTTTTTATATTAGTATCATTAATGTTATCCTTCTCCCCTCACAACTCTCATTCGTTCTAGGGAAAAGAAGAAACTCTTTGGTGGTGACTCTTGCTGAATAGAGATTCTTTTGGGTGCTTTTAATAATAATAGTTTGTTTTCATTGATACTCTGTGGGCATCTAGCAATTACTTTTATCATTGTATTATTATTGTTTTTGTTTATGTTATTAATAAATAATTGCATACTGGCTTGTCAATGTAGTTTTTTGTATAATTGATTGGGTGGGGGAGCTCCTTGGGTGTGCTGCATTGCTCTGAGGCAGCCTCTCTTATAGGTTAATCTGTTTTTCCTCTAAAGGCTACAAAGTTCCTGCTCGGGAATATAGGATGAAAGACCCAACACCCCCCCCCCCCCCCCC